TTTATTTTGTTTTTTCGGCCAAATTTGGACACTATTAGATCTGGGGACTTCAGATTTACTGTGTATATACATTTGATGAATAAAAAGATTTTGTAAATTACAGATTTTTGATACCACGCCCCCTTCGCCACCAATTTGTAAAAACGTTTTTCAAGTACTAGAGACGTGTGCAAAATTTCATAAAGTCCTAAGTAATAGTCCTACTACAAGCGAAATTATTCAACTAATAAACTATCATAATATTGCCCATACCGCAGTGCAGCCCAAGCGCAGTCGCTGCTAACTGCGCAGTCAGCAGAGCGCGTGATTATGCGTGCATGTGGATGCTTGTGTATGCATGTGTGCATAAAGAAGTGCAGAATGAGTAGAATATCAGCTTAGAGGGTTCAGGGTATATCCTAGTCGAGCAGTCGCGACTGGAGCCTTCTTACTTGTTTCTTTATGAAATATTAATTTAAATGATTAGCAAAGCGCAGTTATTTACCAAATTGAAGCTATAGGCGATACTAATCACGAAAAAGGAAATTTATAAAAATATCAAATCAAACAAATTAAATTAACAAAACTTTCAAAAAAGTAGGCAATATAGAAGAATAGAAATTTCATAAATAATTTAAATTAATATATAATTTTAAATATTTCATGAAATCAATATCATCATTAACTAAAAAATTTAATTTTTAAATTAATATCTTTATTAAATATTAATTTAAATAATTGAAATATTATAATTCTAAAGCGAATTGGAAGTGGCAAATGATTTGCATTCGATGTGTGTGCAGTTTGACATGCACTGGCCACTGTGTTTACTTTTGCATAGCTCTGACAGTCATACACTCATAAATTACACATACGTATATGTATTTGCATGTAAACACTTGCTGCTTGCGCCACATGGGCGACCACAACAACAGCAATAGCAACAGCAACAAAACAATGAACTGAGCTTGCTGAGAGCGCTTTTGTTTTGTTGGGGTTGGAATTGGGATTGGGGTTTCAGTAGAAGTGCAACTTCCCCCGCACAGAGTTCAATGGTCTTTTGACACAAATGATGTCAAGTTGAGCTTCTTGCTGCCTGGTGCAGTCGGTGTTCGGCTATCGGCTCATTTGCACGCCGCTCACTGGCAGCAGCAACAGCACCAGCACCACCAGCAGCAGTAGCAGCAGCAGCAGTCAGCTGCCGTTACAAGCCAGCTAGGAAATCCTTTGTGTCTCTATGTTTTACTGTTTGTTTGGGTGCCTCTTTGGCTGTTGGGCCAACGACGAGTCTGCTGCTGATATGCGGCCGGCATTCTCTCAAGAGCTCTCTCTCTCTCTCTCTGAGTCTTTCTTCGCGTCTTTCCCTGGCAGAGAACCTACCGCAATTTGTTTCGTGTTTGTGTCGCCGTCATCGCTGCATTTCCTTGTTTATGTTTTGTATCCAAATGTAGGGTATTCGGCTAAGTGCTAAAGCGTGAGCGAGAGAGTGCGAGAGAGAAATAGGGAAAGAAACACGGATACGAATTCACTGAGAGGAGAGCATGTGCAGTACCGTTGTATTGTTGACTGACTGTTGCAGCGAGTGTGGTTCTGCCGACGCTGTTGGCGCTGCTGCTGGTGCTGCTGTACCTGCGCATTCGGCGCTGCAGCTTTTTGTTATTGTTTTGTCGTTTCATCTTCCGCTTCTTCTTCTCCTTTTAGTATAGCAAATTTTGTGTTGACTGCACAGTGGTGCGCAGTGAACTCAATTAATTTATTATGAATTCACTCACTATTGTATAGTTTATAATTTGTATATTGTATGTTTATAATTTTTAAATTCATATCCTATCTCAATTAATATATCAAATATTGTGTTGACTGTTCAATAAATTTAAGTTATTTAGCGAAAATTGATTTGATATTAAATGTGCTATGTGAACCCAAAAAGAAAGACGGTAAAAACTATAATTAAAAAGATTAAATAGAGATTTAATTTTGTTTATAATATATAGCGCAGCTTCAATGTCTTGCTGCACTGTTCGGTTCAAAAACTACGCAGTTTTGTTTCAGCTTTTGCCTCGTCCGCTGTGCCGCGCAACTGTACAGCCCAATAGGGAGAGAGTAGCTGCAGCAAATGACTGCGCTGTTGGCGCTGACGTCGACGTTTTCGTTGTCCTGGCTGCATTTATCCTGGCGGCAATTGAACACTTTAATCATTTAGTTCTTGCACTCTCCGGCAGCAAGTTGTGTTTTTTGATTATCGTCGTATCGTCGTCGTTTATAAATTGTTGTATATCGGTATAATACACACATCTAGCATACTCACATAATTACATACACACATACATACATATACATACTCATATGTATGCATCGTATATTGTGTATATCGGTTAAAATCTACAATTTTGTGCGTGTATTTTAAAACTCATTTAAAGCGAGCCTAAAGTTCCAGTTTTTCTCAAAAAAAAAAAAAAAAAAAAAGAATAACTTAAGCAACAACAAAAGAAAAGCTAAAATTGTGTGGAAAATAAGTGAAGAATAATTTTGCGGCAGTCTTTCTATCTCACTCTTGCACTCAATCAAATGCAACTAAAGTAAGAATTGGTTAACTGAAAGAAAAATACTGTAACTGTAAGCGAATTGTCGTTACAGTTGTTGTTGTTTTGTGGTTGTAATTGCATATTAGCATGTAAGCTGCCCACACCCATGGTCGATTTTTCACATTTACATGTACACACACATACACACACACACACACACACACACACACACACACGGACGATAGTAAAAACTTGGCTCAATGGGCTGCCTAGCGTCTCTGAGCGCATTTCTCTACACTTTGCTGCCAAATGCCGCCTACACACACGCACACACATACACACATAGCCGCATACAGCTGCGTTTTGTGCAGCGCCGGGTGCAGTCGACGTTTAACCTAAAAAACGCTGTCGGCGTTGGCGTCGCTGCTTGCAGCTAAGCGCGCTCTCTAGCTTACGCTCTCCCGCTCTCTGTGTATTGCATATCTTGAGGCGCGCTCAGCTGACAGCTGCTGCCGCTACTCTAGTGCCGCTATTGCTGCTGCTGCTAGTGCCGCTACTGCAGCCGTTGACTGCGCTGCGGCTGCATTTGCTCTCTTTCTCTCAATATTTTCTTTCTGCCGCACCCAAAAGCAAAGCGGCCTGGCTATCCTCTTGCTGTCTGATGTTCCTTCATTCTCCTATTTCATCATCGGACTTGGGTTGATTTTAGCTTTTGCTTTTGCTATTGCCTGCTGCTGCAAGGTGTGTCACTTTTTTGTTTTGTTCTTACGGTTTTTAGCCACTTTGCATTGCATGCCAAAAGGGGGTGGAAGGTGTTGAACCGTTAGGAAGCAGTAGCCTTTGCCATATCCTTTGCTGTGTTTGCGTCAATTAAACGGAAACAATTTTAAACAATTTATGAATGAAAATTGCCGGTTAACGTTACACTATTTTTGTGGGCGGTGCAGCAGAAACGGGCGTGTTCGCCTGAATGTGTATTCAACTCGGTTGTCGATGTCATTTTGTTTTCAAAGCAAAGCGGCCTTAGCCGATGAACGTGATTATTAATTACTGGCAATTGGCATCGATTAATAATACTGATGAAATGTATTTTTGAACTTTTAGAAATAAAAAAAATTTTTTTTTAATTAAAAATGTGTGGTTCTTAAATTTGTAATATTTCGGACCATTGAAGCTGATCAGATATATTTCTGGATTTTTGTCTCAAGTTAATGAAGTAAATTTCATATGTAATTAGATTGTTTCTTTCAAAGATGAGGGTTATGATTTGTACATATAGCTGCCATAAGGATATTTTTGCATGTTCCTGCCTTAATTATAATAAAAGCGATTTTTTGTTTCCATACTGACAAGTTGACCCGAAATATTTGAAGATTTTTTTGTAGATTGCAGATAAAATTAATTTGTATTTTTCTAAAATATAAAATATATTACTAAAAATTTGATATTGTAGCTGTCCGAATTCATTCAATTGTTTAATTTTTTTAAAATTAATTTGAAGATTCTGTTTATTTCCAGTAAAGCCTAACAGTTTCCATAGGTTGTTATTAATTTGTAAGTTGTAGAATTTATTTTTAGCTAAGTTTAAACACGAATATTTTCTTTAATTTTTATTTTTTGTATTTTTCAAAGATACCTTGATTATATCTAACAATCTAATGCTTGATTATAGGTAATTTATCGCGCATCCTTTTAGTGCTTTTGATTCCAGATTTATTTTTATAATGTAAGTCATAAAAAATGTATGGATATGCATATTCCTAAAATAGCTAAAACCAACTCAAATAATATCAAATAATCATTAATTTGATTAATATAATGAGGGCGAATTTTGTTGTGTCACAGATTCACACCATAGGCCCAGTAAACGTCATTGTGATTGCCTAAAACTTGAAAGCTCATTGATAAAATTCTTCTAAATATTTTATACGTTTGATATCGAATGCTTACAGCTGTTTTTATATTCTTCAAACACATACCTGTATATATGTACATACATACATAGGTATTTTAACAGCTGTATTGGCTCTGCTATTTTGAGTATTTTGCATAATGTGAATAGCATGCTTCTCTGTTACTACGCCATTTTACATGTAATCCAATTATTGCTCTGTGCTTTCCTCTCCTAGTTTTGATACTCATATATGTGTATGGATATACATACATTCATGAAATGAAAGCAGTCTGATCTATACAACCACCCGCTAGGTCGCAGGCCTAGCTCTCTCTCACACTCACACTCACACTTATACGCATTAATGAACTATGCAGAGAGTAAAGTAAAGTGCGCTCAGTTTGCATTTGCATGTTGCCATGCTCTCCTCAGTCACACTGACGCCGCTCGCTCTCGCATTCTTCCTCTCACTCTGTCTCTCTCTCTACCTCTTGGCTCTGCATGCAATGTGATGTTTTGACTCTTTGTAGCGTGTGTTTGTCTTCTGCCGCAGCGGTGATGGCATAAAAATAATTTCCATGCCGCTCGCTGAATCAGTTTATTTCTGTTCTGTTGAGTTGCAGGAACGTGTTCTTTTTCTACTTTCCGTTTGATTTTATTTCCTTATTATTATTGTTATTATTATTATTGTTCTAATTATTATTATTATTACTGTTAAATATTTGGTTCGCGTTTCGTTCGGTTCGCTTCGGTTTCGTTTGGTTTTTCGTTCCTTTTGCCGTTTAGTTAACGTTTTTCAAATACCAAACAAAACTAACACATAATCAACGCCAATCAATTTGCATAAGTTATCGCCTATCTTTCGGTTAATTTTGTTTTTGATTGATACAAAAAAACACGTAAGATAAGCAATTCCCAAATAAATAAAAATAATAATATAATATAAAGTGTTTCGTAATCGCGTCGAAATCTAAAGAGCAACAAGTTTTATTTACATTTCTGAATTTTGGATTTGTTTTCAAATGCAAAGGTAAAAATATTGCATATGATTTTGCATTTATGTAATTCCTTTTTGCATTCAATGGCCTGCAACACAATTTCAAATATTTTATTTTACTTTTATACATTTTCCATTTTTCACTTAACCTCAAATAATGCGTCGCAGTAGCAGCGGTAGTGGCAGAGACAAAATCTTCATCGCCTTCGTTTTGTTATTTTAAAAATATTTCGTAAATATAATTCTTGGTACTTCTGCCGGCTCTCAATACATACATATATACATGCCGCCGTATCAAAGCAGCGCCCACTCTGTACCGCCCCCCGCCTCACCAGATCAGCCCGACAGTTATTTGTTTATTTTTAAAATATTAGTTTTTCGCACGATTTGTGCTGTAGCGCATGCAAAAATGACCGAGGAAAATAAAAAGAAGGCAAATAATAAAACAGAAATAAAATAGGAAAATACGCAGCAAAGGTGAAATTTTTCGAATTTAAATATTGAGCGAAATTCGCATGGAATAAAGCAGAACAGGAAAAAAAAGATGTAGTGGGTGAAGGCCAAAGGCATTGAAAGTTTGCTTTATATATAGATTGGATTAGCCTATATCTACATACATATATCGTGTAGAGCTATTGTGAGCGACCTATAGATGGTGATATACCCTGCTCTATGTCAGGGGAAAGCACACAGAATGCTTATCTCACGTTAACTATATATTTTAAATTATATTGATGAATTGAATTTGAAATATGTATTGGATAATGATAATCAAATTATATAAAAATTCTTAAATTTATTTAAAAAATAATTTATACAAATACTGAAAGGCGTTCTGATATTTGATAATTAATTATTGTAATTATTCTGAAGTCAGAAATATTACAAAAATATTATACTTGGGAAGTACCTTGGGGTATAAAGAGTAGTTCTGGGGTACTCGACAAACTATAAATATTGTATTCTTTTGATGCAAATAACGCAATATACTTTCTACCCTTTTGCATCAGTCATTCTATTTAGCATGTTTATATGTATGCATTACATTTGGCTTTCATCAAACCGAAACGAAAATAATAAATATAAAGGCAATGCAACCTATTGACTATAAGAACAATGGGTAATTGGATTGCTTAGCTAGAACGCAGATGAGTCAACAGAAATTGTTGGCCATTAAGAGAAAACAACATAAAGAATGGAAAAATTAAAATACAAGTGGAAGTATTCTCTTTCTAATAATATTAATGATTTTTTTCTACCTTTATCTATATCATACTCATGTCATTTAATATATGTACCACCATGTGTATACATATACATCTAAATTGCACTAGAGTGTCTGATTATCCGCTTACATTGCCTTTGACCTATTTGAATTGCTCAACATTTTGCAATTCTGTTTGCCTCTGCGCCAGCTCTTCAATGATTAGCTCGTGCGTCATTTTAATTACATTGATTTTTCCGTCAGTTTTCGGATCTATTTCTTCGCGTACCCGCACACAACAGCAACTGAAAATGGACAACAATAATAACAACAACAACAACAACAACAACAACAACAACAACGACGACATCAATAACAACAATTGCAAATAGACCACGTTGACATTTCTAGGTATTCATTAAAAATGTTGAACATGTTTCTGTTGCTGTTCTTACCTAGCCACAATCATGCACCACTACGTCCCGCACCGCCCCCACCCCACCGATTCTAGTCCCTGAGACCTGCATATAATTTAAATTAAATTAAAATAATTGATTTTACTTGCATTTCTTTTCGTTTGCAGTTAACTTTCGGACATCAAATACATATATATAAATATATATATGTATAAACATCTACATATATATATATAACGTATACGTAGTGGGCACCCTTTAGTGCACTTATAACTAGGCTTTAGGCAAAGGTTCAACTTAAATCAATTTCTGTTTTCAACTACCATTTGCTCGGTTTGTGCGTATTGAGGTAAGTGTTTTCAGCAGCTGAATCGATGGAACTACATATATATTATATAAATATATATTTTGTTTTTAACTTCCTTTCGTTTTGTTTTTGGTTTTCTTTGCAGATTTTAAAACGCGTTACAGCAGTATTATCTAAAAGCGAACTTTTAATTCTAGTTTAATTTTCATTTCACAAGCAAGAAAGCCGTAAAGTTTTCACTTCATTTAACATTTATGATTCTTTTTACTTTATTTTTTGTTTTTGCCTTTCGATTTTGCCAACTAAACTTTAACGCTGTGAGCTGAATGAATGCTATTTATGACTTTTGTCTATTTTAGAAAGTGTGTTAAAAGTCTATTAATATATTTGATGACAAGAAAAATATAAGAAAGGATTATTTAATTAAGTGAAATGATTCTCCATTTTCAATAAGTTGAGGGTATAATTCGTTAGCTTATGTGAGCTTTCTTGATATAGATTGTTAAACAAACTTGTTTTAAACTCAATTTATTTTGTTTTATATTTTAATAATATAATTAGACTTAAAAAAATAAATATAACAAAAATTTAAAAAATAATTTATAAATCTATAATTAGTAAAAATATATTAAACTATATAATAAAAATAATATAATATATTATTCAAAATTATTATATAAAACATAAAGTTATTATATAAACATCATAATCCGAAATAAGTAAGATAATAATCCAAATTAAATATAATTCAGAACAAGTTTGCCTAGCAATCTAATATACAATATGTTTGTAATATATTATAAATATATATAAATTAATTTATTAAAATATAAATATAATTTTTTTTCTTTTAATAACTTTAATAACTGAAATATATATAGTATAGTTAAATGAAGGCTGCCTATAAAATAATTTTTTTGTGTCTAAAAACGTGTTTATGTCTAAGGATTTTTTTTCCTGGCTTTCCAGGAGAAATGTAGACACATTATATTGTCACAGAATTCAAGAAGTTGAATCATCTGCAATTTATATTGCTACTCACTCACAGCTGCAGCTCAGTTTAAAGTTTAGTTGGAGTTCGGTGACCTATCAAGCCAATAGTATCGACTATTGCTCTTGTGCTTTGATATATGTATTATTTAAGCTAATCGCATACATTTGAGCATAAAGTATTCTCTCTAACTATCAGCAGCAGTAAAATGGTCGAGGGTCAGACAGCGGTTCAACAGCAGCAACAGCAGCAGCAGCAGCAATCATCGGGCACTGGCAGCTCTAGTGCTGGCACTGGTGGTGGCACGGCTGGTGGCGCCTCCGCTGGCGCTGGTGTGGCCAACAGTCAAGCGCAGCAGAATGGTGGCTCAACGGCCACGGCAACTGCTGTGGCTGCGGCTGCTGCTCCGGCAGCAACAACCAACAACAATGCGGCAGCCAACACCAACAGCAACAGCAACAACAACAATAACAACAACAATAACAATGCAGCCACAAACAACAACAATAATAATAATAACAACAACAATAACAACAACAACAATAACAACAACAACAACAATGAACCGGATCCGAAAACCAATTTGATTGTGAACTACTTGCCACAGACGATGTCACAGGACGAAATCCGTTCATTGTTCGTCAGCTTTGGAGAGGTGGAGAGCTGCAAGTTGATACGTGATAAGGTGACAGGTGCGTATGCCCAACAATTAACAATTCACAGTTGACAATTGACAATTCACAATAATTAAACATTGCTTTCAATTAGGCCAAAGTCTGGGCTACGGCTTTGTCAACTACGTGAAGCAAGAGGATGCGGAGAAGGCTATTAATGCATTGAATGGTCTACGTCTGCAAAACAAAACCATCAAGGTGCGATAGATAATTACAGATGACTGAGTATAATCTAGATAAAGCTATTCACTTGAATTTCCCTCTATCAGAAATCTTGTTAAAGTGTATAACTAATAATTCGATTTACCTCTTCCTAGGTCTCCATTGCGCGTCCCAGCTCGGAGAGCATTAAAGGCGCCAATCTCTATGTATCGGGTCTTCCAAAGAATATGACACAGTCCGATTTGGAATCGTTGTTTAGTCCATACGGCAAGATCATAACTTCGCGCATACTTTGTGATAATATCACTGGTAAGTTATAACCCCATCGATATATTATAAACCATGTTTTAGGCATGTCCTCTAGCTAAGAAAACTTGTTCTCTCCTTATAAGCCAAGTACTTAAGTTTATCTTTACGCAGATTTTTCTCAACAAGCGTGTTGCTTTAAATTGTTGATAAAACTGAATTTAAATTAATTAATTATTTAATTAATTTAATTATATAAATGCCATTCTATGAAGCATGTTTAAATTATATTGAATATAAAAAGAAATAAATTTTTTGCTAAACTTTCTTTTATAATTTAGTTAAATATTTCTTTAAATAATGTAAACTATTTTTTTCCAATTTATTTTTTCATGTATTTATTGAAATACCCCATCAAAAATATATCTATATATATTTCGATCAAAAACTAAATCAGATGAACATGCGGCGGGTAGGTTTTAATCTTTTGTTTAGCTGTTTAATTCGCAATCAATCAAATTCTCATTTTCACATTGCATGGATTCATTTAATTAAATCAAATTAAATTTATTTATATTTCTTTTGAATTTTAATTTTGGTTTTGAAGCTAGAAAAAATTTGTTAATTCATATAATACATAAAAAAAATTAAAAAGCTCACGTTATTTTTAAAATTAAAGGCTCAAATTATAAATTAATGAATATGGTTGAAGATTGGATAAATGTATTATTTAAATGAATTAATTAAATTTTTTTTTCGCTTTGTTTTATTTAATATTAATATTTCAAAAAAAAAAAAAAAAAAAAAAAAAAAATAATAATAATAATATCAAATGATGATTAGAGCAGCTTTATATTGAAATAGGCAAACAAATTAACTAAAACAAATTTGTTTTTCGTATTCTATTAAAAAACATCAATATATATTTATGGTCAAGAAAGTTAAAAAATCCTAGAACTAGTTAAAACTATAATATATAATTAGCATGAGCTTCAAATTATAAACCAGTCAAATATTCAAGTCAAATCTTCATTTGCTAATTATCATGCTTATAATGAAAAACATGGTATTTCCTAGTTGAGCAACAAAACCAATCGTATTGTATTATCATCATTGTATAGCATCGCCTAACTATTGTTGCATATTATTTCATTATTTTTATTATTTATTATTTTTAAAATTGTTTATTAATGATTATGTTTTTATTTGCCCCACCTAAAACAATTATCAACGACAAAATACCCGCACCACATAGAATCGCATGCCGAGAACCTAGATCGTATGTATACCTAATATTTTATTAACATTTATGATTTCTTTGGTCAATTCATATGCCCTGTTGTGCTAGCTATGACAACTGAATTGTAAAAATATGTACATTATTCGTAGCTAATTTGTTTATATTTATGTTTCGCTTAGGTCTCTCCAAGGGCGTTGGCTTTATACGCTTCGATCAGCGCTTCGAGGCTGATCGCGCCATCAAGGAGCTCAACGGCACCACACCGAAAAATTCCACCGAACCGATAACCGTTAAGTTTGCCAACAATCCCAGCAGCAACAAGAACAGCATGCAACCGCTGGCCGCCTACATTGCGCCACAGAATACGCGCGGCGGACGCGCTTTTCCAGCGAACGCGGCCGCCGGCGCCGCAGCGGCAGCCGCTGCTGCTGCCATTCATCCCAACGCGGGCCGTTACAGGTTAGCTGGGCAAGTAACGAAAGCAGTTCATTGTGGGACAGATGGGAGATAACTATTTAGGCAGGATTCTTAAGATCGACAGAGATTCAGCACTGGAATATAGCTGGGGCTTGGGATATTGCAGAGAATCTTCATGATCTTTAGATATTTAAGTGAATATGTAGGATATTAATATGGACAGAACAAGTGGAATTTAGAATCGATTTAAAAAATATTTTTTATAACTTCACTAACTAGTGAATGAAACTTAGAGAAAACTAATTAGCTGATTCACTTAAATATAGAAATACTGCTTCAATATAGTGGCATAAAAATGCGATTGGCTTGTTCCCAGGGGGCATTCAGAATTTAGCCCTAACAAATTACACAACCGTTCGCCTCGAGTTTCAAATTCGAAGTGATTTTATTGCAGTATGCAACTAGAGCATGATGTGCGTTCGCAACTTCATTGATTCACAGCTCTCTATTACAAAACGCTCTTAAATTACATATATACAAAGGCATATTTGAAATGTCTTAGATATTATAGGGCAGAGTTGCTACCTTTCGCCTTTCAAGGTAGTAGGGAGCAATCAGCAATTTGATCTGCATAAATATTCTTAGCTGTAAAAACTGAAATAGTTAAGCTTTCTATGTTTTAGGCCTATTAAATCGGAATATCTGACTGGTAATGGAGTATAAAAGAAGCGTATGAAGTATAAATAAAATTATTGAATAGAAAACAAGATCATGGACGCGACGACTTATTTAGATTACAAGTGAACTGATTTTTTAAACAACATTTAATTCGTAATCGCCAACAGAGTATTCTGATATCTTGTGGCTTTAGTCTACTCATATGTAAGATCTGTTAAGGTGTTTATTTGGGATGACTTATGTTATGATATATATACACATGATTTATTATATGAGATGACAGTTGGCTTATATTATGTTACATGATTTAAGTTTGATGTTCCACTCTGAGCAAAAGGAGAAATGTGGGTTTCAAATTAGCCCAAAGGCAGAATGTATTAATAGTAAAATATCATTACTTAGTATACAGACAATCAATCGCATTCATTAATAATAATAATTTCTATTCCAACTCACCGTCACAGTAACATCATTATACAGAAGGTAGTGTTACATTCTGTATAAAAAAGTCTGGTATATACAAAAGTTGAGAGACTATGGAGAAGTCCACTTCTCGAAAGCTTTGACTCTCTGCTGCATACTCAAAATAGCCCAAGGCAGTATTAAATCTCCCTGAGAATATTTCCCTTTACCCATATGCTTGTTGTACCTATAAAGAAACACTCTGCTAATTTGATTGATTTCCCCTCTTTCTGCTACAGCTCTGTGATCTCACGCTATTCGCCGCTCACCAGTGATCTAATTACCAATGGCATGATACAGGGCAATACCATAACTAGCTCCGGCTGGTGCATTTTCGTCTACAATCTGGCGCCCGAAACCGAAGAGAATGTGCTCTGGCAGCTGTTCGGTCCATTTGGGGCTGTGCAGTCGGTCAAGGTGCGTCTTTTAGTTAGTGCATATAAGCTTTGTTAATGCTAATGCTTTGCAGGTAATACGCGACTTGCAGAGCAACAAGTGCAAGGGCTTCGGCTTTGTCACCATGACCAACTATGAGGAGGCGGTGCTGGCCATACAATCGCTCAATGGCTACACGCTGGGCAATCGGGTACTTCAGGTCAGCTTCAAGACTAACAAAAATAAGCAAACGTAATTATTAACCAAGTTGGCTGCTGTTGTCAATGCCAATGCGGCGGCAGCGGCGCTAGCTGCCAATCGTTTGGTGCTTAATCAAAGCCACAACAACAACAACAACAACAAGCACATCATGAACAACATCAACCATAAAAGCAACAGCCACCACCCATTTGGCAAATATGCTAATCACAGCAGCAACAACAACAACAACAGACAGCACAACAGCAATAACAAACAGAAACAGCAGACAACTTCAAGCAGTAACAACAACAGCAACAACAACAAAAACTCGTTGACAACAACAACAAAATCGAATGCAGCAACAGCTACAGCGAGCAATCGTCACAGCAAACCGCCCACAAATAGCAACAACAACAGCAACATGACATCTACTAGCAACAACAGTAAGAGCACCACCTCCCATGCCACGCCCCATAGCGAAAGCGGCGCCAGCTCGACCAGCAACAGCAACATATTGAAAACCTCGACGAAATTCATCTACAATAAGCCGCAGAATCATTTCGAATTGCTACAACAGCAGCTGCAGCTGCAGCAGGAGTTTGCTCAGTTCCTTACCAATGTGGCTAATAGTGCAGCTGGAGCCGGTATCGCTGACACGCCCAACATACACAACAACAGCAACAACCATAACAGCAACAGCAACAGCAACAACAACCACAGCACCAGCAGCAGCAACAACGCAGCCAGCGGTTCACATGCAACGCGGAATGCGACAAACAGCTCAACACTGAGCAGCGCAGCAGCAACAGTTGGCAACAACAAGAGCAATCACAGCCATAACAAGAACAACAACAACTATCAGTCCTCATTTATGCCATCTTGGTCAAATTGGTTTTTCTAATTGAAGCCGATACTCACCGTCTGGTGAATGCCCTTTTTACATTTTGTTGGTTTGAATTTGTTCTAATACGTTTTTTTAAATAACCTGAGCCCCTTGAGAATGGGAAATCAGCGTGTAACTTTTTTTTAAACATTATATTATGTTCATATTTAAACTATATGTTTCCTTATATATGGAATTTTTTTTATATTTACTTTTACGAAAGTATATTTTTTTGGTATTTAATTTAAGTTTAAAATTTGTTAAAAAACAATGAAGATTGTTTTTAGCTAATTTTTTTTTTAATTTTTAATTTTTTTGTTTGTTTATTGTGAAAAAAAAATCAATTTTTTTGTATTTTCCTTATATGCAAACTTATATATGGAAACTTTTTAATATTTACTTTTACGAAAGTATATTTATTTTTTGGATTTAATTTAAATTTAAAATTTGTTAAAACACAATGAAAATTGTTTTTACATAATTTTAAACAATTTTTAATTTTTTTTTTGTTTATTTTGAAAAATCATTTTTTATTTTTTAAAACTTTTTTTCTGCATATATAATTTAATTTGAAAACTCATTCAATTTGTTTTTTTTTTCTCTCAAACAAACAAAATTCTCTTCATTTAATCTTTCCTTTGACTATTCCTGATTCATTTGCCTTAACAGCAAATCTCTAGTCGCTACAAAAAAAAAAAAAAAAAAAAAAAAAAGTGAATGAAATTTATGGTTAAGTTTTTGTTTGAAGAGAAAAGAACATATTCTAGAAATAGTTGAAAAGCTTTGGCATAATGAAATCTAGAAGAAGGCCAAACCACCAAAAACTTGACAAAGAAATGAATTAATTAAGCTTATTGATAATTGTATAAAATGATAATAATAAAATGAAACAGAACTGAATGAAATTGCAACGTTTGGCATATGCTCGAAAGCATATGCGGTTCGATATGTGTTTATAAATATATATATATATATATATTGATATATATGTATGTGTGTAACTTTTGCTTAAAATAAAGATCATATTACATTAATGTTTTATTCAATACTTTAATTATTCAATTCACAAACATCATCTAATCATTGTCATGTGTTGAAGAAACTTATCCAATTCCTAACTATGTTTATGACTTTATCTGAAACTAACCTGACGAGCAGCAAAGAAATCGAATGTGCAATAGCGCAGAGAACGAAATCTATAAAAACTAAACAAGAAGAGCTAAACAACAAATACAGAGAATTTTTCGAATACAACGAATAAATGTTTAAGAAAAATTTAAAGCTAAAAAGCAAAATAAAAACCCATAACTAAACACAAATTTAATAAATATAAAAACATTCTAAAAATAATAAACAAAACACATTTTAAAAGAGAAAAACCTAACACAAAGAACCAGCTAAAAATATCTATGCACGCCATTCGAAAAATTGAAAAAAAGTCCAAGAAAAATCTCTACAACAAAAATTCTTAGCTTAAACTTAACTTTAAAAAACAAAAAGTGGAGTGTACGTAAATGAAATATTGACAAAATGCGTTTCAGCAAAACGAATTTGTTTCAACCAACAAAAAAAAGAAACCAAACAGCAATAATAAAGGAGCAAACAAAAAAACAATATAAAAATATATTGAAAACAAATTGCCAAATTAAGTGTTAAAGAAATACCGGAGAAAAATTCTTGAAAGCAGAGTGAAAAAGATTTAACTTAAAAGTGATTTGAACCAGAACTAACGGAACGTTTCGACAAATGATATAGATGCATTTAAACAAACAAAGACAATGCCTGGCGAGAGATGGTGTGAGAGACGAAAGTATGATCAAAGTTCTATATAACACGAAAACATGGTGCTTGAGAGATTTCCTTGCAAAGCTAGCTAAATATGCTAGCAAAACAAATTATATATATACAAATATATATATATATATGAAAAACTCTTGTTATCAAATTTTTTGTTTTTCCATACATCAAGTCAAATCGGGAATTGGGAAACACATTCGAATTCATAAAGATTATTTGATTTTTGTTCTCTAACCCGAGACGTCAAGCCCTTTAACAATTCGCAATGTTAAAACACATTAAACTATGCTATAAATATATATTATATAAATTAACTCTATATAAAATTTATAACTAACAAAAAAGAAAAGTATATTATATATGATTAATAATATATTGATGTTGTGTATTGCAAATTTTAAATGTTTATACATATACATACATACCAGAACAAATTATTATAAATGCATATTAACTCATGGCATAAATCACAAACAGCAAAAAAAAAAAAAAAAAAAATACTTTCATGTATACGTCAAGTAAATTTATTGCAACTATTAAAAGAAAACTAAAGTTATTCAAATACTAACAACCAAATGAATATGTATGTATATTTACGATTACGATTATTATGTATGTATGTGTGTGTAGTGCGCCTAGGCGCAATATTTATAGAGCTCAATGGCTTATTTCCACATGAAAAGCAAGTGAAACAATCGAATCATTAAAATCATCCGGAATATTTCAATCATTCGAATCACTTGAGACACTTCATAAGCAAATGCTTGACTGAATCTTAACAAAAATATAATAATTAAAAAAGGAAATAAAGAAAACTGGTTGCTTTTATGCGATTTATGAGAACAAAACCTTCCAAAACGAAACAAAACAAATGAAAACTTTGTAGAAAGTTCAAGAGAAAACTATAAGAAGAAAACACCAAGAAAACCTTTTTTTTACTAATCAGGCGCTCACATTTTTTTGTGCAGCTGCCAATTGGATTAGGGAAAAGGGTAAGCAGAATGCGTAATGCAATTATTAGTAACAAACAAAATAAAAACAAACAGCAACAAATAGAAGATCAACAAAAAGCAATCGATTATATACATTTTTTAAGACGAAAATGTTTTATAAATAAAATACCGAAAGAAAAAAAAACAATATAAAAGAAAAAAACCAAGAAAGTATTTCAAAAATTTAAACATATACATGAATACTATATATACAATATATTATATTATATATACATATATATATATATTATATATATACTTAACGGTATTGGTAACGAACAAAAACACCGCACAATAATATACAAAGAAAAGAAAAAAGAAAACCAACAAAGAAGAGAAAGAATACGTAATGCAAAATCTCTGATAACAAATGAAAAACAGTTAAACTAATGCAAACAAGACTACAAATAAAATGAAAAGCAAAACAATTAATAATTATGGAAAGCAAACGAGCAACTTTATAATTTTTACATAAGTAAAAAAAAAAAAAAAAAAAAAAAACAAAAATGAAAATGAAAAGAAACGCAATAATGTTAACACTTAAAGATTGAACACGATGAAAAATAAACAGAAAACAAAGCGCATATCTTGAAAAAAAAAAAAAAAAAAAAAAAAAAAAAAAAAAAAAAAAAATTAAAAAAGACGAAAAGACGAGAGAAGTATGTTGATGAAATCTATTTAAACAAAGATACGAAAAGTTACCACAAATTTTAACTGTAAACCAAACAAAAGAAAGAAAACTAATTAGCATGATGAAGAAGAGAATGAATGAATGAGAATATGGTACACTTTTATACTTTTACACCAGATACAGAGATATAAGGAAATCTAGTGCATACACACATACACTTACGTATAGAAGAATCAAGGATCTGGCGATCTAGTTGTCGTCTGGTTTTTCGTTTGTCGTTTCGAGGCACATTCGCGTTTGAAACCCAAAAAAAGGTTGTGCAATGCTCTGCAGGCGGAATCGGAACTGGAACTGGAACTGATTCCGACACCTGTAAAGCGCTCTCTTTAAATGTCTCTCTCTTAATACACATGAACACGAAAACAGACACACACACAGACATACACACACACACACACACACATTAACACACAGCTCTTAAACTCTTTAACTAGCTAAAACTGATGAGCATAGTCGAGCATCATCATCATCTGTGGGTAATGCTCTCGGTATTTAAATGATGTGCTATAAATTAATTAAACAGGCTTCTAGGCATAGCTTAACAAAAACTGAACTGACACTAGTTGTTGATTTAAGAACTATTTGCACAGAAAGAAAAACCAAATAAAACTCCCAAACAAATATTTCGAAAATATTTCAAAAATTTGATTTTTAGCCAAGGCTTCAAAGTTTGGAAAAAAATCCCCCAAGCTAAGCGAGAGTAATCTTAAGAATGTTTATTTTCGCTATTTCTAAATATTTCTTCAAAATTTTGCTCAATAAAAATTCTAGGTATATAGAAATGTTGTACATCTCACACATACCTGCTCTATTTACATACATCTATATACTTTCACAGTTATTTCAATACTTTAAAGATATTTTTGGTTTACAAAACGTTAAGCTTCCTCGTCCTACACACAAGTATTTTGGTCTAAAGATTTGCAAAAAATTATTAATAAAAGAAAATACAAATAAACATATAACTATCCAATTAAAATTTCGTAGTGCATGTCATCAAAAAAGTAAACAAGATCGAAACAAGTTCTCTTTCTCTCTATATGTTTGCATTAAATGTTAAATAAAAAAAAAATAAATAAATAAATATTTAAACAATTATAAGAAACCAAAAAGAAATGAATATATATTAAATGAATTATGTATAAACCAAAACTTAGTCGAAAGAAAAAAACAACTTAGTCAAAGGTACTAATTTTAAGCACTCTTGTTAAATGCAAATCGCAAACAGCATAATATTTATACTTCAACGATTGATTGATTGACTGATTGATTGAGTGAAGCGACCTTTGGTTCCATCTAGCTCAAGCTCAACATTTGCATAATTTAATCAATTGCGATTATTTGAAATTATTATCGTCTATGGTTTAGCTTACGTAAAGTATTTGAAGACAAACATACTAATTATGCCAGCATATATACACTCATGGTCAAATTAATAGGTGTGAAATTTTTTTTTTTTTTAAATGGGTATAACGTCTATATTTTTTCATGAAACTAAAAAATTCAACTTATATTAAAAAATAGACACATCATAGAATAACAACAACAAAAAACAAGTTTAAAAAATAATAATTTTTAGTATAATTTTGGCATACTTCACAAAAAACTCAAATTTTTGCTGGCCAGATTAATAGGTGTGCCCAGCAAATTAAAAAAAATTAAAAAATTCTTAAATATTGTAGAATATTTAGAATATATTTAGATAAGTATGGTTAATACCCTGTATATCCGCCTTTATTCGCAATGACTTT